CGCGGCACGCTCTCCCTCGACAGTCTTTTTCGACGCGGTTTGACCGACACCAAGAGCCTCTTTGTTTACATGCGTCCGATTGGGTTCATTGCGCCGAGCGTGGCTGAGGCGAACGAAGCGATCCGGTTCTTGTGTTGCTTTCACTACGGGACTTGCCACGTGCAAATTGCACTCAGCAAGACCTTGTATGGCCCCGGCGACATCCTGGAGGTTTTGCGGATAGTTCAAAATGGTTTTATAGCGCGGTTGTAGAGCCAATGTTCAATTCGCAACCTCTCCGCCAAAGACGTGAGCAGTGTGCGCTACGAGCTCGTGCGGCTCGTTCATGTGGCTGCAGGCGACACGCGCAACAGGTGCTCCAAAGCCATTTGCTCGGCATCGTTTCCTGGCGTCGCTCGGGGCGAGCACGTGGTGCAGACGCACTCGCTCCAGCTGCTTGGCCACGACGGAACCGTCTTGTACCCGAGCACGCGTGGCGAGTTTGTCTCGTGCAGTTATGTACTCAAGGTCTCGTGCGCTATCGGCTGGTTTACCAGCATTCAATTGGAACTACCTCTGGCCATCGCGGTGCTATGATAGCTACTTAAATGGGTGCGCCGCTGTAAAGGCCCCTACGATATGCTTGAAGCGTTGCGCTTGAAACCACTCGGGTGGTATTTTCAATCGTTAGGAATGAAATAGCCTAAATCCGTCCTACTTCCTACTTGAATTCTTTGGCGTCTCTATCGCATGCCAGCGACACAACTCGTTAGTTCCCTCGAATTGCGGATCTACGTGTATTTATCGAGTGGATTCAAAGTCAAGTCTGGATTTGATGCACAACTGGATATTTTCGACGTGGACGACGTGCGCCATGTTCACGTCGCACATGGCCGGATCAGAATCGAGAGCATACTGTAGCAAAGATAATACTAGATTCATGAACAAGATATGGATGCCGACGGGCATCTCCATGGACGTTGTTTGAACCAACACCATTATTTGATTTCCTCTCAACACAACAGACTTTGCAAGCGATGGGCGTCATCGGACAGTATTTCGGCTCGACGAGCAAGGGGTCGCTCACGCTTGCCGTCGAAAACCCATATTACATGGCAGGCGACAATATTCTTGGCGACCTTTCCGTCGTGCTTACAGAGCCGTTGCAGTCCACAGGTACAAGATCCTCTTGCATGGACTAGTTGATGAAGAAAAATGCACAGAAATTGCCATTCTCCTCGTTGGCGAAGAACAAGTCCAGTGGCGAAATCACCACCAGAACACAGATCATCGGCAATTCTACAACGCGTACAACAAGTTCTTTCAACGCCGGGTACGTCGACTTTAGCATCATAATGATGTTTAATCTCTCACTAGCTCATTCTGGACAATTCGACGCGCGAACTTCCGCCAGGGCAATACACGTTTCCGTTCCAGTTCACGCTGCCGTCCAATCTTCCCGGGTCGTACGATGGCAGCCAGGGCGTCACTGCGACCATCCAGTATTCGCTTCAAGGCATTATCTCGACGAGCGGTACTTTTGCGCGGGATCTCAAACACACCTACGCGCTCCGCGTCTACCGTCCGTTTCACGGGTCCATTGGTCCCGCGATGGCCGAGACGACCAAGACCGTGCGCGCGCTCGGCCTCTTCCGCAAGGGCACGTGTCATGTCCGCGCTGTGGTCCACAACAATGCGTCGTTCCTTGGCGACTCGGTGACGGTATGTGCATTCTTCAGGCGTAAACTTTGTCGCTGACCCCGTTGCATGTAGATTGAAACGTTTGTGACGAACGCGTCGGCGTCAACACCCATCAAGTACGTGTCTTGCAAGCTCGTGCGCTTGGTGACACTTTGCGCATCCGGTCGGGAGCATGTGGAGTATGAAGTCTTCTCCAACACGAAAATGTCGGGCGTCAACGCCAGCGACCAAGCATCGTTTGTGCAGACGATCAGTCTCTCAAGCAGTTCACTGTGGCCCTCAACAGAAGGCGACCACCTCTCGTGCCGGTACTTTATCGACATCAAGTGCTCCATTCCGTGGTGCCCCGACGCTTATTTGAGGGTCCCACTGACCCTCTTTGCCCGCCCGCTCACTCGTTAGTGCAGGTATTAGCACTTACTTTGTCGGATCGTGCATCGACACAAAATGAAGATTAGTTTGTTCTGCATTTGATGCGATGACGTGGCGCTCCACTGCACTCGATGGCACAACCCAC